TGCCTACATATCTCATAGAGGAGAATTCAGGTCCTACGCAGTTCGACCTTCTTTTTGACTTGAGATGAAAATTGATCTTTTGTTGAGAAGAGAGAGTAAGATTTGAAGATTGAAGTTTGAATTTTGTTGGGAAACTTAAGACTCGAAGAGTATTTGGACGTACTTTTGACAAGTGACTTGATATTTGTGCTTATGGGCTTCTAGAAAATTTCAAAAAAGAGTAGGTTAGAGCATCTCCAAATAAAGCAACATAATCACACAAGAAGTTATAACACTTAAACAATTATTGCGCGTTCTAAACAGATATGTGACCCTTTTTGCCAATGGTAGGCCTAACGATTTGAAAGATGTATACGTCATTCGAAACATTCTATTGCCTCAGAAACCCAACTTTATACAAGTTTTATGAATAAACTGAATGGGAATACATACTAGGGAAAAAAGGGATACAAATAATAAGTCTCACACAGGTGTACAATCATAAACTATGCCTTCGTGAAAAGTCCTTCTTTCTTGCCATCTCAGAATGTCCATGCTTTTGGATGGAATAGTAACTTGAACCTTCTTTGACTCAAACAAATTATTAAACTCCCTACCCCATGAGACAATGGTTTTTCAAACGACGTATACATCTTTTAAATTTAACACATAAATATGAACGTCCACTTAGGCTATGGGCCATTTTGGACTTAAGGTGGTCTTTCTAATGGGCCCAACATGCCTTAGGTGTTGGGTCATCTTAGGTCAATGCGCTAAATTTTGGGATTGAGTTTTTACTCTACACTAGTTTGACTAGGACTGGGCTTTATTTATAGTGGATCGCTGACCCAAGTGAACTACTTGGGTTGGGACAGTTAACGACCATTGACTATCCAGTAGCCAACTACATTTGTCAGGGTGTCCCGAAATAATTTGGTTAACGAACGACTGCGGCCCGCATAATCGTCCTTTAAGTGAAAAATAAAAATAAGAGTCGTTTGACAGAATATGTCATACCATGGATGCAATAGTTTAATAGTGCAGAAATTTAAACAAATAAACAAACATACATTAGCCAATGAATTTAATTTTAAGGTTAGAACCCAATTCAATTCCCCAGCAGAGTCGTCATTCTGTTTTATTTAAAAAGAGAAACTACGGGTTTATATTTAAGAGTCACCACTTAATTTTTAAAGTAAAATTAAGAAAACTATTTTTTCCAAAAGATTAAAACAAAAATCTAATGAAAATATTAAAGGGTTCGGGGTTCACATTAACATCTCAGGAAGGGTTTGAAAGAACCCGAAATGTCCGCTAACATACAGTTATCCGACAATTAAAATATTTAGCTAAAATTTGAGCATGCTTAATTAGTTTAGAAATAAACAAACTTAAGACTTGAAATTATTTTTTAGGGGAAAGGGAAATAATATAAGGGATTACTTAAGTAAATTATTTCAAAATAATTTAAGTAGGAAAATAAGTATAACTATTTTTTATTTTTTTTAGAATATACATTAATTATTTCAAAGTGATTATCTCTTGCAGAATTAATTAAGAAAACTTTAAAATTGACTAACACATAAGCAAATAATTAAAAAAATGAACAAATATAGAACAAATAAAATAGAGAGAGATATTTTTGGGCCCAAGTCTGGTTTTCTGTCCACCTGGGCCAGTACTTGGACCTAATTTCACTTTGGGATTTTGGCCCATTAGAGCCTACATGTACCTATCCTAATGACTAGCATAATAATTAATTTTCTTTGGGCTTCTGCTCAATTTCACCTCTCCTAAAATCTAACAAATAATACTACAAATAAATGGGCCTTTGGCCCAATTACAATGCAACACAAAACTGAAATTTAGAAGGGCTTTTGGTCCTCTTTCTGTTGTATCACACTGTATACAGCATGTATACATCCCTTGGTCTCGCTCTGAACACTTGTATTTCAATTTTCGAGGATCTGTTCATCAGTGTCTTCTTTTCGCTTTGGGCTAAGACTCGAGATATAATACAATTGGGCCTCCGTGGCCCATTTGGAGTGAAAAGAGGAAGGTAAGGAGTTCAATGAACTCGACCATAGCTTTTTTGGAGTAGCAACTGGGACAACGAACTAAAGAGCAGTGACTTCACCACAAGCCGAGCTTCACCAGATTCCAACGAGCTCCAGTAGACAGTGAACAAAAAAGGAGACCTCAAATTAGACTTCAAACCTTTGATTAAACACTAAGGATACTAACTCTCTGTTTTCAATTCCCCTCAATGTTTTAGCTTCTATATCACAATGTATTTTTGTATGTAAACTATGTAATCTGTAAATCTTTCAATTCCTAAAAAAAAATCTCCTCAGTTATTTTTTTTATCGAGAATCTCACCCCTAAAAATCCCTCATACAGTGAAAGAGAGAAGAATTTATATCCTCCGATTTTTTCAGAAAAATGGGTCCATTTAAGGGGGAAAACGGGAGGGAATGAGGGTGAATTCGAAATTCAAAATCCCTTATAGAGATAAGGTTCAAAACGGCTGGAAGTAGTACCATTCTCAACGGAATAAGAATGGTCTTCGTCCGATTTCGAGCAAAGGACGAAGGAGCAACTCGATTTAGACACTTGGCTTCGAGAATATTCTTGTACGGAGAAGAATAAGGGAGAGAGGAGGGTCACACGATTGCTGGGCTCCTGGACTCGCGATTCTGGGCCGATTTTGCTACTGGATTTCTGGGTTTCGTTCGTTTGCTGGTTTACGCGAAAAAGAAGATGTTGTACAGTGGTCGGCTGGTACTGTTTGCTGTATTGTATTGTTGCTGGGTCTTTTGGTATTGGGCTGGGAATTGAGTATGTATTTGGCCCAATTTTAGTCTTAAACTTGACTGAAAAAAATGGGTTTAGGAGGAATAAAGAAAGCAGCTAGAGTTGAGTTTAAGAAATAGCCATACGGATTGCGATTATAGCCATTCGAAATCACAAACGTAGCCGAATTGAAATCATTTAGTAAATTCGGCTAGTAATTAAATAAGATGAATTAATATAAATTAATTAATGAGCTTCTTTAATCTTAACGAAATAAAATAATTGATTTAATTATAAACTAATAATTTAAAAATGTAAACTATTATATAACTAAATTAATTTGTAAATATTTAAACAAAACAAAATCTTTTTGAGATGATATTTGAATATTTATAAAATGTACTAATCATATATAAAACTATATAAGAAAACATATTTATTATTTAGAAATTATAAAAGCGACTAAAATTACTTTAAAATTACTTGAAAAGTATTTCGAATGCTATAAAACTAATTATTTCAAATTGTTCGAAATTTAAGAAGCTCAGTGATTAATCTATATTGTGGAGGTCCAAAATTGGGTGTCAACTACTGAAGTGGCAGAGAAATGACGGTGTAAAGAAGTGTAGTTGTGAGAGAAGAGTAGAAGTGAGGACTCCGAGTAATCTGGAATAGTGAGTGAAGTTTTCAAAAATGTATTTGTATTCATGAACTAAAAGTAGAATATAAAAATATAGATGTTATATTATATACTTTATATAAATAATTATATTTTTAGATGGGGATTTAAAATCTCTGCTATTTATTTAAATTTTTCTCTTTTTAGATGGTGGGGGTTCTAAACCCTGCTATTTACTTTTAATTTTTGTCAACTACCAAATCCCTTTTATTTAATGTAATTTGATACATGCTCAATCATTCAGTGTCTTTTATAAACTAATGTTCTATTGCCTAAGGACATTGTGTTCATACGTCCAGGCCCTGACAAATAAGTAGCCATGCTTTTTTAGTAGTGTTGTCAAGCTCTAACTGACCGGTAAGCTCCACTTCCTTTGGAGTTGTCCGCATGTTTAGAGTTGTATTGTCTTTTGTTGTATATCAACGGAAAGTCAGGCCTTGTCTTGGCCAATATCTATACTCTTAGAAACTTACAGATTTGAGTGGTGAAGTAGTAGGTTGTCAACCATGTCACATTGCTACTTGTTAATATCAACATGGTGACCTTGTTTGCCCATTGACGTGTTTCTATTATAAATTTTAGTGTCAGGTTAGCTGGAGTTGTTACTACTACAATATTTTCTGGTTATAATTTTAATGGGCTTGACTTTTATTAATTGGAGTTTGATTATCTGTGTTTGTGGGACTTAACTGATACACACCAATAATGTATATATTTAATAAGGTCTGTTCAGGATCTACTATGGCATATGTGCTAGTCATGCCTATCAAGGTTGAAGCGTGATACTAAATTTGATACATTCAAGATATACCTTCAAATGATGTAACACTTATCATACGCTAATCTACAAAATGCAAATAAAGTTAAGGTAGAATTCCACAGAGAACCATACAAGGATGATTAATCTAGTATAGAATTTTACTAACCATTCTTCAAACTTAATAATTTGCCATATGAAAAGCATTCCTCATGCCATCAAGCTCTTATTGAACTATAATTGCCATTATTTTTGGATTGAAAAATTAATAATCATAAAACACAATCTTACTTCATTAGAAATTGCTTCAGATTCATATAAAGTAATAAAATGTTAAGTAAAGCTTATACATTTTATCTCTTTAATTTCTAAATACAGGTTATTAAAATAGTTTTTGAGGAATTCAATAACTAAGCACACGTATTAGGAGAACAAAACCAATTTGCTGGACAGATTAACAAAAAATTAGGAGCATAGCACGTAATCTGATGTGTTTTTGTATTAATCATCCACTTAAACCAAAAAAAAAATTCATGAAAATATATCTAGTTAGATTCTATTTCTATATTTATTTTTATTACTATTAATAATTAATATAATAAAATTAAATTAAACTAGTAACTTTTGTTCTTCCATTTCTTGCTTATATTCCTCTTCTTCACCGAATCCTATCCCTTTTTTACCTACGATTTCTTGAAGAGTTCTTCACTACGATTCAATAAATTCCATTAATTTTTTCAAAATTTGTGACGGAAGATTGAGCTAAAACAATCAAAGTTCCCTTTTTTTTTAATCTTCCCCAATTTTGTGAATTAGGGCTTGTGAAAAATGATGAAAATTTCGTTACCGGACTGCCTGATCGCCGATTAATCGGCGACCTTGTTTGCTGTTCGCTGTTCGGTTTTGTATGGAAACTCGGAGCCGGAAACGAACGGAGGCCACGTCATCAGCGCCTTCTGCTTCTTCTCCTTCATCAGGTCCCACCACACGCGCTGTTAAGAGAGCTCGTTTTACCACACGCGCCGCCTCAAACTCGATCTCAGCTCGTTCCCGACTCACAAATCGTTCCCAAGACCAACAATCGATGGACTCCACGAATGAATCATCCGGGTCGGGCAGCCGAACCAGGCGGGGAAAGAATCACGGGGCAGATAGAAATAATCCGGAGAAGGGTAAGGAGAAAGAGCACGAAATTAGGGATAGAGACAGAGATATGGGATTGAACATGGATACTGATGGGGGTGATGAAGATGATAATGAAAGTGAAGGTGGTGCTGGGATTTTGCAACATAATTTGACTTCAGCAAGTAGTGCACTTCAAGGATTGTTGAGAAAATTGGGTGCTGGTTTGGATGATTTACTGCCGAGTTCAGCAATGGTGTCCGCTTCCTCGTCCCAACAGAATGGGCGTCTGAAGAAGATATTATCGGGCTTGAGAGCTGATGGGGAAGAAGGGAAGCAAATAGAGGCATTGACGCAGCTTTGTGTGATGCTTTCCATTGGGACAGAAGACTCTTTGAGCACTTTTTCAGTGGACTCGTTTGTACCTGTCCTGGTGGGGTTGCTTAATCATATGAGTAATCCTGATATTATGCTTCTCGCAGCTAGGGCGTTAACCCATTTGGTTGATGTTCTGCCATCTTCTTGTGCTGCTGTTGTGCACTATGGAGCGGTTTCATGTTTTGTAGCTCGCTTACTCACGATTGAATACATGGACTTAGCTGAACAGGTGATAAAGTTATTCCTTTGTGCCAAAGGGAATGGAGTGCCACTCTCTAGAATTGGGCCTTGTACATAACAACAAATAATTGCATCTCAATCCGAAACTAGTTGGGGTTGGTTATGTGAATCATTCCATTTGGACTCATTTCATTTCAATGCTCAATAATTTGAATGTTTATGATAACATTAAGAGTTATTCTAGAAGTAGAAATTCTTAATATAACATCTCTGCTAAGAGAATACGCTTTGCAAGTGCTGCCGTTTGCTTAATATTGGCATGATTGAAATTCTAAGTTATGATGCTAATGTTTAACTTTTAACAGTCTCTACAAGCTTTAAAGAAGATATCTCAAGAAGATCCAACTGCTTGTTTGCAAGCAGGTGCACTCATGGCTGTGCTATCGTATCTCGATTTCTTTTCCACTGGTGTTCAGGTAGTGAAGCTAATAAATTGTAAATGATTTTATTGACATAAGCCATTGATAGTTCCATTTATAGGTTGAATATCATTCTGATCTTCTTTTCATTCTCCCATAGAGAGTAGCACTAGCAACTGCTGCAAATATGTGCAAGAAGCTGCCTTCGGATGCTGCTGACTTTGTGATGGAAGCTGTTCCATTGTTGACGAATCTCCTTCAGTATCATGATGCGAAGGTGAGATCGTCATCACATCATAACAAAATCACAGGGAGATTTGTCAAGTTTTTTAGCTTAATAAACTTATTTTTGTCCTTTTCGCCTCCTCAATTTGGTTAAACCTTCTCTCTTTATCATTTTATTTCTTGGTGCTTGGATGTGTGTGTAGGTATTAGAGCATGCTTCTATCTGCTTGACCCGGATTGCTGAAGCATTTGCATCATCTCCAGAAAAGCTAGATGAACTCTGTAATCACGGACTTGTCACACAGGCTGCCTCCCTCATCTCAACCAGTAATTCTGGAGGTGGTCAGGCTTCACTCAGCACAGAAACTTACACAGTAAGTTCAATTATTGAATGTGTTGATTTTTTACATGGGGATGTAGTTATGACTTGATTTTGTTTGCAGGGCTTGATCCGGCTTCTTTGTACTTGTGCCAGTGGCTCTCCATTAGGGGCTAAAACCTTGATGATGCTTGGTATCAGCGGGATCCTCAAGGACATTTTATCAGCCTCTGTCTCTATTTCACCTGCCATGAGCAGACCTGCGGAGCAGGTATGTGTGATAGCTTTAATTTTCGCAATCCACTGCTTGCTGTGTTTGTCACTATTTTCATAAGGGTGTGTTCAAGAGTGTCGGAAAAAAGAAGCATAAATTTTACTAAATTATAGAAATTTTGAAACTATTGCATATTGGATATTTGTGGCATGAGGAGACAGGATTAGATATTCTATGTATTTTCACATGGTTAAGTGGAAGTGGACAATAATTTGGGGTTGAGCTTTTGTTTGTGGAATGAATTTAGAAAACAGTAGGAGCCCGTTTTTGTTCCGTTCCTTTGTCTTTACTTTGTCATTCTCCCAAGGAATAGATGTTCTACGAAAATACTGAGAAATTGCTGTAGTTTTTCTCGAGGAAATTAAAAGTACAGTCAAACACTGGATGAAGAAAGTGTAATAAGATGATTGACACCACACTCCATGTGATGTGGATTAGTGGGGTCAGCCTTTTCTTTCAAAACAATGTAGTAAGGCCACAGTGTGTCTCTGTCTAGAATGAAACACCTGAGTCCAGAATGTTTTTTTTACAATTGATAATAATGAGGATCTAGATAGTTCGTTAACACTCAAAGGTGTCTATTTCTTTTTCTGCTCAGTGTTACAGTTCAATGGCAGGCGTGAGAACTTCTCTACTATTAGGCTTTGTAATTTTTGTTTGGTGGGAATATAATTTATGTAATATGCATGACACATAATCAAACTGCTAGTTGAATTCAACCTCTTTCTGTAGCCACTTTCTGGGCATTGTGGTTCTTGCTTTTATGATAGATCCCAAGTGTACTTTTTTCTTATTGTAGATTTTTGAGATTGTGAATCTTGTAAATGAACTACTTCCTCCGCTGCCTCAAGGAACCATCTCTCTTCCCGTTAGCACAAATTTGTTCATTAGAGGTCCTTTTACGAGGAAATCCTCTGCTAGGGGTTCTAGCAAACAGGAGGATCTGAATGCATCTCCTCAGGAGGTATCAGCTCATGAGAAACTATTGAATGATCAACCTGCACTTCTGCAACAATTTGGAATGGATCTCCTTCCTGTTCTGATCCAGGTTAGTATTATAACTCTATGGGTATATTACTGTCACTACCTTACCATAGTGGACAGACATTACAGATGTGACTTCCTGTTGCTCGTTTTGCTGATCAGACATATGGATCCAGTGTAAATACAGCAGCACGCCACAAATGCCTCTCAGTTATTGGAAAACTTATGTATTTCAGTAATGCAGATATGATTCAGTCTTTAATTAATGACACTAACTTGTCAAGGTATGTTGGGACCAAATTAAAGCTTCATATTATTCTTCAACATTTGGCCCGTGGAAGCAATGTTTTTTCAATAGGACAATATTTCTTTCAATGATATTTTTCTCAATGCGAGTTCTGAATGTAATGCTTGATTGTAATGTCTTAATAGTTTCTTGGCTGGGGTTTTGGCGTGGAAGGATCCCCAAGTATTGGTCCCCGCTCTTCAAATAGCAGAGATTCTAATGGAGAAGCTCCCTAGAGTTTTTGGCAAGATGTTTGTCCGGGAAGGTGTTGTTCATGCTGTAGATGCCTTGATGTTGTCTGGGTTTCATGTTTCTGCCCCTCCCCATCCAACACGTGCTGAGAAGGAGAAACATAATAGACGCCGTAGCACTAATTCCAATACAGATGCAATTTCTGTTGAAGATCTTACAAGTCCAGTTCCAAGTACTGGATCTTTGCCAAATTCGATAGAAATTCCGACTGTCAATTCTAGCCTTCGGATGTCAGTCAGTACATGTGCAAAAGCTTTCAAGGATAAATACTTCCCATCAGATTCTGAGGCTGCTGAAGCTGGTGTCACAGATGATCTTATACAATTGAAGAATCTCTGCATGAAGTTGAATTCTGGTATTGATGAGCAGATAGCTAAACCTAAAGGAAAATCCAAAACATTTGGCCCTCAGCTTGGGGATAGTTCTGTTGGAAAAGAAGAAAACTTGGCTGAAGTGATAGCTGCCATGATGGGGGAACTCAGCAAAGGGGACGGTGTTTCAACTTTTGAGTTCAGTGGAAGTGGAGTTGTTGCTTCTTTGCTGAAATATTTTACGTTTGCGTACCTTTCTAAGGAAAGAATCTCTGATACTAGTATGTCTAGGCTTCGACAAAAAGCAATCAGAAGATACAAGTCTTTTATTGCAGTTGCCCTTCCTGCTGGTGTTGATGGTGGAAGTATGGTTCCCATGACTGTTCTGGTCCAAAAGCTTCAAAATGCTCTATGTTCGTTGGAGCGTTTTCCTGTTGTGTTAAGTCATAGTTCCAGATCATCGACAGGAAATGCACGTCTTTCTTCAGGTTTAAGTGTTTTGTCTCAGCCTTTTAAGCTGCGCCTTTGCAGAGCTCAAGGAGAGAAAACCCTCCGTGACTACTCTTCAAATGTTTTGCTGATTGATCCTTTGGCAAGTTTAGTTGCTATTGAAGAATTCCTCTGGGCCCGAGTTGAGCGACCTGAGGCTGAACAGAAGGCCTCTGCTTCTGCTGGAAACTCTGGGTCTGGGACTATACCTGCTGGAGGCAGTGCGTCATCTCCATCTATGTCCACTCCGGCCTCTGCATCTCGTCGTCATTCTGCTCGATCAAGGTCAGCAGTTAATATTAATGAAAGTGATGGAAGCTCTTCAAAGGGCAAAGGTAAAGCGGTTTTGAAGCCTGCTCAAAAAGATGGCAGAGGAATTCGATCAAGAGATCCTGCTAGAATGAGAGCTGCCTTGGCGAAAGCCTTAGGAGAGGAGAAACCTGGTGACGGGGAGACTAGTTCAGAGGTAATTTTGGAGACTAGTTCAGAGGTAATTTTGTTCACTTTATTAAGTTTGTTATGCTCTGTATGTATGTATGTATATTGAAGATGTTTGGCTTAGTAGTTGCTTGAGTTTACTTGAAATGAAGGAGTAATCTTGTACGGTTCTCAAATAAAACCTCGCAAGTGTTTAGAGCCATTAATTTTAGATTTCTTATTTTCTACTTTTTTTTCTCTCCGTGTCAACTATTTTTTTTTTTGAGAATGGTAACAGTTAATCTATATATCCACTGGTACACTACATCAAAATATGTAGTCCCCCTTCTAAAGTATTACAACTTACATCTTGAACATCTATTTGTTGTTCCTATGAATAGTCTAAAGCGTCAAAAATATCTTCTGTTTGAGCTATTAATTTATGTCTACACCAAAAATAAAACAGAGCTAAACAATTCATTTTGAACTCCCGGAAGATCCTCATCTCCAGTTCATGCAATTTTTGAACATATGAGTTCTTGATTGGCCAACACTCCACCCATACAACAAGGACGGTCTAACCACCACTCTGTAGAACTTACCTTTAAGTTTAGTGGGTATTTTCCTATCATATAAGACTTAGAGGCAAGCCTCCATTTCATCCATGCCACCCCAATGCGATGTGTGCCATCATCATCAATGTCCCCACTTTCCTGGATTACAAACCCAAAATACTTAAAACTCTCTTCAGAATAGTCTGTGTGGCAAGCCTCACTTCCACGTTTGCTTCATCCAACGCAACACTGAATTTGCACCGCATATATTCAGTTTTGGTTTTGCTCTACTTGAACCCTTTAGACTCCATAGTTTGTCTCCAAACGCCCAACCTTGCATTAACTCTGTTCCACGTCTCATCAATCAGTACTATGTTGTCTGCAAATAACATATACCATGGAATCTTCTCCTGGATAGACTGCGCCAACTCATCCATCACCAAGGCAAATAGGAAAGGTCTAAGAACTGATCCTTGGTGCAGCTCCATCTCAATCGGGAAGTGTTTCAAATCTCCTACAGTTGTTCTAACTCGAGTTTGGGCTCCATTATACATGTCCTTCTATCGCCCTAATATAAACCATCGGGACATCTCTAGCCTCCAAGCACCTCCAGGGGACATACCTCGATACTTTGTCATAGGCCTATTCACGGTCAATGAATACCATATGTAGGTCCCTCTTCCTTTCCCTATATTCTCTACTAGTCTCCGCATGAGATGGTGACTTCAGTATTCGATCCTCCAGGCATGAGATTCTCAAAAATAGACACCCCTCTCCTCACCCTCATCTCTACCACTCTCTGCCGAACCTTCATAGTGTGGCTTGGCAATTTGATACCCGTGTAGTTGTTACAGTTTCGGATATCACCCTTGTTCTTATACAATGGAACTATTGTACTCCACCTCCCTTTGTCAGGCATTTTTGCTCTATTTAAAATAGACACCCTTCTCCTCATCCTCATCTCTACCACTCTCTGCCGAACCTTCATAGTGTGGCTTGGCAATTTGATATCCGTGTAGTTGTTACAGTTTCAGATATCACCCTTGTTCTTATACAATGGAACTATTGTACTCCACCTCCCTCTGTCGGGCATTTTTGCCGTCTTAAAAATACCCTTAAGCAACCCAGTTAATCACTCCATACCTGCCTTATCCGTGCTCTTCCAAAATCCCACTGGAATCTCATCGGGTCCGGTCGCTCTTCCCCTGCTCATCCTTCAAATAGCACGTTTAACCTCGTCAACCCTAAAACACCTATAGTACCCAACTCTGTTGAATTTACCTTCAAGTTTTGGTGGTACCTTTTTATAACTCAAGACTCCGAAGGAATCAAACATTTACTTTAATATCTGAAACTTCCTCAAGTTGATGTAATATCTTTCTTTTCTCTCTAAAATTCTTGACATAATTAGCTTCTTGAAGGCGATCAAATTATTTTGTTGATCATCCTGAAAATTTGAGTTTTCCGGATGTAACAAAGATATTTATGGGAAACCTTGATTCTTTTTGTTGGTGTCCTTGCTTACATTTTTCAACTACTAAGGTGGTGTTGATGGAATTTATGTCCACCTGAATTCTGACATTTCACTGTTTGTTTTCATGTTAAGGATGATGAGCTGCATCCTTCTCTCATTGAACTTGATGATGCTTTGGTGATTGAGGACGATATGTCCGACGAAGATGAAGACGACCATGATGATGTATGTTGTTAGATTTCTCTATTTCTTTTGTTCTTTCAATTTTTCTTGTTTTTGGTTAGCTTGTTTAAATGGATTAACTTGATCTCCATATTTAAGGGTTCAAAGTCTTCTTGAACATTGTTAGGCAAAGGAAATTACTTTAGATTAAAAGCTGCACAAGTGTTCTAAGCTTTTGGTTTACTGATTCTTAAAGATGCATTAGTGTCAACTAATGAACTTAACTCTATAACTAGAAGTAGATAATATTTTAAAATGGTGGCCATGGGAAACTAGCCCCTGGGCTGTTTTAATTGGGTTGATTGTGTTTGGAAAAAGAAAAGTCTTCCAGCCGATTCAGAATCACTTGGTGATTATTTCCCATTTGTTCAAGCCTTGGTGGACAGAGTTATCCGTTATGGTAGACAAAGTTACCCGGTACATGTATTAGTGGGAGGTAACGAGTACTTCGTGGACTTGGATGAGGTGTGTGCAAGTTGTGGCCCGGACACTCTGTTATCAGAAAAAAAAAAGCCTGGTAAAAAGAATTCCATTAGAAAACAAACATGAGCTCAGTGTGCTTGTGGATTAGGGTTCAAGTAAAGAATGGGACTTGGTCTGGGGTATTATGTGGTGTTTCCATCAAAGGGATTTTTGGTTTGGCGTTCTCTTAATATAAGATAAATATGTTCTATTATAGCAAGGAGTTTTTGGGAAATGGAATTGTGTAAGCTCCTACGATGAGGAAATCATGAGGGATCGTTAAGCAAGAACTATGGATGGGAGGGGGCAAACCTTTGTCCTACATTTGATTCTTGAATTAGGCATGGATTTGACAATGAAATATTTTTTTTGGCACAATCAAAGCCTTTCCCTTCTATTTGTAACTGAAACTTTAAAATATAAAGTAAAGAGATTCAGCTGGTGATTGTAAGGAAGTGCTTGAATGGTGAGGTCAGTGAGATTTCCTTTGAGGGGAGGGATTGGGGAGGTATGGAAGACATGAATGGAATATTTCAAAAAGGCATCTATTTATGAACTGCTTGTTTTTTCTTGGGGTGGAGGGGGGGGTTATACTTTCTTCCCCGTATATGCATACTTTTATCCTTTCTTGATGTATCACTCTGAAAAGCTTTTTCAATGTTAGATATAGAAGGTGCAAATATTGTGTTAGCGACATTCTTATTTTTTCTACCCATTTTTGCAGGTGCTGAGGGATGATCCTCTTCCTATCTGCATGGCAGATGAAGTGCATGATGTTAAATTGGGAGACTCTTCGGAGGATAGCCCTTTTGCACAGACACCAACTGGTAGCAATACAAATGCTGCTGGTGGTTCTAGGAGCAGAATTGCTTCTGCTCGGGGATCTGATTCTGTTGAGTTCAGAAGTAGGAATTCCTATGGTTCAAGAGGGGCAATGTCATTTGCTGCTGCTGCCATGGCTGGTCTTTCATCTGCTAGTGTTAGAGGTGTGAGGGGCGCTAGAGATCGACATGGGCATCCTCTACTCAGCTCTGGTGATCCACCAAAACTAATATTTTCTGTTGGTGGGAAGCCGCTTAATAGGCAGTTGACTATCTACCAGGCTATCCAGCGGCAGCTTGTTCTAGACGAGGATGATGATGAGAGATATGGTGGCAATGATTTTGTATCTAGTGACGGAAACAGGGTTTGGAGTGATATTTACACTATCACATACCAGAGGGCAGACAACCAAGCTGAGAGGTCGAGTGGGTCTGGGAGTTCAATTTCCAAGTCTATGAAAACCAGTTCTTCAACAAGTTCCAGTGCTGATCCTTCATTGGTTCGAGCATCATTGTTAGATAGTATATTGCAGGGAGAACTTCCTTGTGATCTGGAGAAAAGTAACCCTACTTACAGTATTTTGTACCTCTTACGTGTATTGGAGGCGCTGAATCAGCTTGCCCCCCGTTTGCGAGTCCTGTCCATGATTGATGATTTCTCTGAAGGAAAAATTTCTAGTCTAGATGAGCTCAGTACTACGGGTATCAAAATTCCTTCTGAGGAATTTGTCAATAGTAAGCTCACTCCGAAATTGGCACGACAGATCCAGGATGCTCTTGCACTTTGTAGTGGATCTCTTCCATCTTGGTGTTACCAGTTGACCAAGGCCTGCCCATTTCTTTTTCCATTTGAGACTCGGCGCCAGTACTTCTATTCAACTGCTTTTGGGCTGTCACGTGCTTTATATAGGCTGCAGCAACAGCAAGGTGCTGATGGTAATGGGTCTACTCATGAGAGAGCAGTTAGGGTTGGCAGATTACAGCGCCAGAAAGTTCGTGTCTCAAGGAACCGCATTCTGGATTCTGCTGCAAAAGTAATGGAGATGTACTCTAGCCAAAAAGCTGTTCTTGAAGTTGAATATTTTGGTGAAGTTGGTACTGGCCTGGGTCCTACACTGGAGTTTTATACCCTTATAAGTCACGATCTACAGAAACTTGGACTTGGAATGTGGAGATCTGGTTTATCATTAACTTCAAATGAACATTCTATGGAAGTTCATATAGATAATAAATTAAGTAGGAGTGATAGAGATCTTGTCCAAGCACCTCTTGGATTATTCCCACGTCCCTGGTCACCACATACTGGTACTGTTGATGGAGGTCAATTCTGTAAGGCAATTGAATATTTCCGCTTGCTTGGACGTGTTATGGCGAAAGCTCTTCAAGATGGACGGCTTTTGGACCTTCCACTGTCCATGGCCTTCTATAAGCTTGTTCTTGGCCAAGTAAGCTCCCCTGCTCTTCATTGCACACTTGTCCAGTTGATGCACCCACCGGTGTATCTTATCTTTTCCACTAACGTTTCTAACTTGAAGCACTTCAGGAACTTGATTTGTACGATATTCTTTCTTTTGACGCCGAATTGGGGAAGACTTTGCAAGAGTTGCAAGCCCTTGTCAGTCGAAAGCAATATATAGAATCAATAAAAGATCAGAACCTGGACAAATCTTATGACATGCGTTTTCGTGGGACTCCAGTTGAGGATCTTTGTTTAGATTTCACACTTCCTGGCTATCCTGAATATGTTCTTAAAGCAGGCGATGAGAATGTGAGCCGCAATATCTTGGATTTTGTTTTAATTTTTTTTTTTTGTTTCTTTGTTTTTATTTTTGGTATTTGACTGATGAAGTCCCTCAATTGCATGTGTTATTTCCATTAATATTTCTTTTAATACCTTAAATGGAATGTGCAGGTGGATCTCAGTAACTTGGAGGAGTACATTTCTTTGGTAGTTGATGCTACTGTCAAAACTGGAATCAGGCAGCAAATGGAGGCTTTTAGATCTGGCTTCAATCAGGTTTGCTGCTTGAGTATTTTTTTTTTCCAGACAACTTAAAAGATCAAGACAATCTTGTGGGTTAAAAAAGCGTATAATGGGACAATCTGATAGTTTCCTTATTGTCAGATTGTTGTTTCTTTAATAATGCATTAGCAATATAGATATACCTGGAGATGATTTTATATCTAATAATAAATAACTTTTAAGCCTTCACAACTTTCAGGTTTTCGACTTTTCAGCTCTGCAAATATTCTCTCCTTCAGAGTTAGACTATCTATTATGTGGCCGTAGAGAGCTGTGGAAGGTAATATCTGTTCTCGTGAATCTGCTGGTTATGAAAAGAACTACTTTTCCTGTATTTGGTTGAATACATTATATTCTTTTTGTTATGCAGCCTGAGACGCTAGTAGATCACATTAAATTCGATCATGGATTCACATCCAAGAGTCCTCCCATTATTCATGTAAGTTTTTGTTCTTCAGCTGTTGGTGAAAGTAAACTGCCTGAAACAACGATGATGAGGATGTTCTTTATCATTCACTTCTTATTGTTTCAAGTTGATGACTTGTAATAAATTATTCTCCTCAGTTACTAGAGATTATGGGAGAGTTCACACCTGAGCAGCAACGAGCATTCTGCCAGTTTGTCACTGGTGCACCTCGGCTCCCCGCAGGTGGTCTTGCTGCTCTGAATCCTAAGTTGACAATTGTGAGGAAGGTATGGCTGTAGCTAAAATTTAAGTGTGCCTAATTGCTATATCTCTTTATTTCAGTGACTGACAATTCATTTATCTTTGGAACACAGCATTCATCTAGTGCTGGCAATGCAGCACACAGCAGTAATGCCCCATCAGAATCTGCAGATGAAGACCTGCCCAGTGTGATGACATGTGCTAATTACTTGAAACTCCCTCCCTATTCTACTAAGGTAGAGTGTCTCTAATTACTATAGCCATATATGTTGTCTTATGTTTTAGTGGTTTATACTTTCCTTTTGTCAATCAATTCTTTATTTTTCCCCAAGTAAGTTATGCATTATTTTACTCCGCAGGAGATCATGTCCAAGAAGTTACTCTATGCCATTAATGAAGGTCAAGGATCGTTTGATTTGTCATAAGTCAAAGTGACTAATAGACTTGTTTATACAACTCAACAGAATTGGTGCTTCTGATCCTTGATAATGGTGCCGTCAAACCATCCTCTTCAAACTAACAATAGCAAGGTTTGTAAACATCTAGAGGCATTGATAGGATTCTGTTACTACTTGTTTCTGCTAACCTTTATTATTTTCATCAGTTTTCAGGTAAGTTATTTAGATTGCATATTGAGTATTTGTTTCTTGTCTAAAACATGTAATTAGCTTGCTGATTTACGTGCCTTGAACGTATTATTGCTTCATAAAATAATAATAATTAAGTGTTGCTGCCTTCTTTTTGGCTGTTTAATTTCACAGCTGACATGGAAGCGTTGTTCAAGATTTCTCCAGGGTTCTTTCTGCTGCTGTGAAGCTTGTTCAAGTTTTCTGCAGGAGTAACTTGTTTTGTAAATGTTAGTAAATACGTAGCAAGATTCTTCTTTCATTTTTGATTTATTAAGTTGGTGAAGTACATAAATGTAAGGTCACAATGTTGCCTTCTTCCCTTTGCTTCTCTTAGATTTAAAATTATACACCTTTGGCATTTCATCTTATATTTAGTACATTACAATAAATTCCCCCATTTCATGTTCCTTGTCTATCTATTGCTTCTCCAAAAATGATTGTTTGAGGTATGCTGAAGTTATCATCCTCAAATATAGGTTACTCCTCACATTAAGGAGTAAAAAATTGATTGAAAATTATATTTATGCCTAAATTAAAAGATAGTACTTACAAATTACTAGTTTGTTTCATAAAAGTAAGATATGATAACCACAATCTTAGATACAATAATATCTACATTGTCTATTATGGTAAATAGATAAATAAATATGAAACATTGTATGCTAGCTATAAGAACATCCTGCATCATAACTCAGAAAATATATTTGAAGATGAATTTCATGAAAACATTAATAGTATTTTTGGTTATTTCTCTTTTGGAACTTTTTTCATCCGGAAATTTAATAGAATATGTTTGTCGAATGTCTAATGACACTTTAAAACATGCATCAATTCTCTTAAAGCAGATCTTAAGAGTTCTTCTGCTGGTAAAATTTTTTTGGGTGGATATTCTTCTTCAGAAGTGTATCAAAGACAAAGTATTTACAATGAAATTGTAAGTCTACTCAAGCAAGCAAAAGAACCTGTTCTCAAGGAATGTCTTAAAATTGGTAAGATAAATTATGATGAGTTGATAGATGTTGCTACAACATCAATTAAAAAATTTTATGCGAATAAATTATTGTAGGTGGTCGAGTCACTCGTGAAGACACATTTATTGAACTACATGTTAGAGAATTCACAATAAAATCAGAAAGTGATTATTTGAGGAATTTTATTGGTTTATTATTGAGTTTGCTAAAGCAATTCAGAAATTAATTTGTAACTGGCATTGTCAATTGAATTTATAAAATGTTGCCTTGATTTTTACATAATGATTATGTTAAAATTTACTTTTATGAGTTGTCGTCTTTTTCTCCCTTTAATTCCTCCATATATTATTTCTCTACCATATATGTTAACTAGTCTTGGGCATGTGTGTCCCATGCTAAATTGTGTGGAGTTGTTATAACGATATATATATATATACTTGAATATATATGTTGCCCATGTATCTCATTCTTAATTAGTACAAGAACTTTGAAAATGTTATAATTAGTGTGTGATAAGTTGCACAAAAATTGAAGAGAAATATACAAGCTCAAATCAATAACTTCAATTATGCAATTTCTATTATATATCAAGTATTCAATTTGATAAAAGTTTCTTTTGTTTAATATGTCATAACTCATAATTTAAATGTCAAATGTGATTTCAAAATATTTCTTGTCTTAAGTTTTTCATCTCCTTTTAAAAAAATGTCTCCACCTTTTCACATTTGCATATGTATTAAGAAGTTGTTGTCGAATGAGAGTAGTGTTTTGGAAAAGTTACATAGAAATTTGATCAATCTATGTCTTCCTTAAGATGGCTATTAGATCATTATTGTGCAATAACTTGCATAGTAATTGAAGAGAAAATATACAAGTTCAAACCAATGAATGGTGAGCCTATTCAATCAAGATTATTATCAGTAGAAGGTACATTATGCTGAAATATTGTTATCAAATGAATTTCAAAAGTAATATTCGAACAATTTTAATTATGTATGTTTTTAATATATCAAGTATTCAATAATAATTGCTCAAATATCTAATCGATGTATATAAATCATAATTATTATAGGTACGTGTACCCCTTGCCTAATTCAAAAATTATTTCTATCATATGTGAATTTAACAAAAAAATATTAGTTAAATTATGTAAATTGATTCCTAACCAAAATTTACACTAAACAAGAATATACAGTTTCATGATACTCCAAGAAGTTATAATTAAAAAGAAAGTAATCTTACCTGATTTGATATTCATAACAAATTTCTATGTTGCAAGAAGTGAAAAAACTATGATACAAACGTTTGCATACCCAAGTAAGATGAACGTTCAACTGATCAGAAAACATATATGAATAAGTCGAATTAAAGACAATAACTTATAATGTGAATAGAAAAAATAGAGCACATAAGCAAAGTAGAAAAGAGAGACACAAACACAAAATGAATATGAGAAAATGTCATCTATACAAAGTAGGATTGATAATCTAATAATTTGATGAATTAAAATAGTTGTCTTGTGATTTTTCACTATACATACACAATATATAGCATTTAGTAAATGAATGTATTGAATTGATCAAAAGAATTTACTCCACATTGAATATACCAAGTAACTTTTCCAATTCTCCATATGTTTATTACTCCCTCCATTTCAAATTAATTAAATTATTGAGGTGTTTCACACCCTTTAAGAAAAGAAGATTGAGACATAAATTAGGCATAACTTTCCATTTTTACTTTATTAATTATTGTCAAATTTATGATTAAAATAACTAAATATTAATTAATCACTAATTCTAATACTAACTAATGAAGGGCAAAATTGAAAGAACACTCTAAATATAGTCTTGAAAACTGAACAATTAAGTTAATTTGAAAAATAAAAAATGCCTCAACAATTCAATTAATTTGAAATGGAGGAAGTACTACAAAGAGATGTTTTACTTTTTGCATTAGGAATCGGAAGATAAAGCATTTACAGAAATTGAATACACATAACTCCATGGCTTTTAATTTATCTAGGTCATTAATTTGCTATATTATTATTTATTTATATTTAGGGAAAAAAGATAAATATACCCCTGAACTATCATAAATGGTACATAGATACCCTCCGTCATACTTTTGGGACATTGATGCCCCTGCCGTCCAAAAACTAGAGCATATATGTCCTTTGCTCTAATAGAAGACAAAATTGGGACATGTGGCACAATCTTATTCGTGGATAAGATTATGACACGTGTATGTCCGTTAGTATAAATGATATATATGCTCTAGTTTTTGGACGGCAGAGGCATCAATGTCTCAAAAATATAACAGAGGATATCTGCATACCATTTACAATAGTTTGAGATATATTTATCCTTTTTCCCTTATATTTATTAGAAGATAGACTTAGTTTTTAGAAAGAAAAAAAGAACATTATAGGAGTTAAATAAATAGCAAACATTAATGAATATTTTTGTGTATATATATTCAACAGCCTAATGCATTAATGAACTAAGTGTACATTTATGTTCTTGTACAATATTATTGTAGGAATAATATTTGATTGACGGGATATTGATGTCATTCAGTATTTTATGGACATTTTGATAATTCAATTCTTAAAATATTTTGGTCCCACTTATATATATACTTACTATATTACTAATTTAATAGAAGTTTTCTCTTGTTTTATTTGAAGGAAAAATGACAGAGTAATTTATGATTATTATTTAATATTTAATTAATAAAATATTTTACAACTTTTTTATTTAGTATAGGAGTAAAATGCTAATCCAACTTTAAATTTTTGAGCTTTTTACTTTTAATAAATTTTTATTATTATTATTTATTGTTTATTTATGATCATAAGATGATAAGTTAGGGAAATGCAGAGGTGTAGTTATAAAGTTGATTTTAAATGGAAAAATAATTCTTTAAAACTATTTTAAGAAAATAAATTAATAGGAGGTGTAGTTTTGATATATATATATATGTATATGTTAATAAGTCAATGTTTATTACTTCTAGAAGTAATTACTATTAGTAAGGGAAAAATGAGAAAAATATACTCAATTATATCTTGATTTGAACCAACTATTTTTAGTACATGTTTCTTGTCTTTAATTTTTTTCTTGCTATGAAATAAGAAAGGTGAAAATTGTTGCCAACAATTTCCATGTACCATCATCATTAATTTTATTGCCGAAAACATTCAAACTATAAAAGGTTACAAAAAGTGATTTAAGTTATCAAATTAATACTATGAAGTTGGTGAATGCAATCAAACCTTAACATAATTGAAAGAGTAGAGATATATGGCTGAAATAATAGCGGTTTTATTTGATATAAAAAAACAAATTGAAGTTGTGAATACAAGGCATGAAGCTCTACTATATACATTTATATGTCATAGCCAACATTCAGCCTATAAGCCCTACTTAATTAGTTCTTGTTCCCACACTTCATTTGAACAGCCAAAGTCTTAAAGATGTCAGGGCATGGGTCCTTGCTCGGCTCGTCGTAAATTTCTCTCTCAATTGGGATTGTGCATGAGTTCTTCCCTAAGCATTTCTCTTCTGCAACTTGCATACTCTTTGCTGAATTGCAAGTTCCAACAATCAAGTTTCCACAAGCACCATCTGGATTACCATAACTAGCAAATTCAACTTTTTCGATGATTTTGTCGTCTGGGCATGTTAAATGTGCTCCTGTTTTGAGATCTTCTACTATCGCAACAAAGTTAGTACCAGATCTCTCCCATGATTTTACATTTGGAGGATGATATTCCGTGATGATACTGCATATTGTGTCTCTGTTTACTGTTTGGATTTCGATATCTGCTGGATTACCACCGGTTTCCTCAAACACAACTAGGACATTGTCAGTTGGCTTCAAGAAAGCTCTTGGAATGTGATACCTGAAAATGAAATATCACACGTTAAATATGTTCATATATATTTCGAAACTATTTATGGATTGATATACTTACTCGAACTGAGTGGGTTGTCCAAGTGGGGAGAGGAAAGATGACCAATAACGGCCAAGGCTATTACCATTCACCCACATCATACCCTTTTGCATTTTGTCCATTTTCACAGCCAATGGGTTGTTGCCTTCAGGTGCTTCAAAGGTGGTCTGCGTTATATATATCGTCAGTATAAATAAAATTATTCATCAACACTATATGATTTAATAAAGAAATGTGTTTACCTTGTACCAAGTAACAGCTCCATTAGTAGGACCAGTTACTGGTGTCCATTTTACTTTCTTTGCACCCTCTTCACTGAATAATTGCTCTTTCTCTCCAAATACACCAACCTATTAAATGACCAACACAATTAGTATATTTTTTAAAGATCAATTATAATTATGTATCGTAGATATATATACCTC